CACAAAAAATACATATTTTAAAAAATAGAAAAAGTATATAACATGATAATAAATAAGGTAACCATGAAACTTAATTTACGTTATCTTTAATAATTGGTTAAAATATAAATGACAAAGAAAATAGAAATAAAAAAGTGTATGTTACTAGGATATTTTTATAATTACAAATTTGAGTGAAAAAATTCCTATTTTAAAATAAATAATATAGAAAATATAAAAGAAGATAATAAATAAGGTATTTCAAAAAGTTAATTTATGTTTTTAGCAATTGGTCAAAACATAAATGACAGAAGTAATAGAAACAATAAAAAATTATTACTGTCATTAAATTTTAATTATAAATTTGATTAAAAAAAGTATTTTATGATATTAAGTATAAAAATAAAAATAAGTTTAGACACAGTATAATAAAAATATTAATTAATTTTATAATAACAAGAGTCATTTTTACGTAAAAGGTTAGAGTTTGAGTAATTTAAAAAGTTATAAATATTTAACAAAAAAAATTGATAGTAAATGTAAGTTTAGGGTTTAGGTAAACATAAAGGCTAAAATTATTGGGTAAAAGTATAAAATATGAAGAGCGTGAAATATTTATCTACTGCATTGTGTTAAACCCTAAAGTATAAAATTAATATTAAAAAAATTGAATGAAAATAATATAAGATTCAGTGCATTAGAAAATTCATCATTCATTAAGTCATAGTTTAAAAACAAGGTAAGTTGATTGAGCCTGCAAGCCAATATCACATTCGACGACATTCGACGTACGTATGGATTACATGCTAAACGAGTAAACATAAAAACATATGTATACAAATAACATAATGGCGACATTGTTTAATCACATGCATTCCATCGATGAGCCGATATGCAAAAAAAGTTTATCCTAGATAGCAAAATTATATATGTAACATGCAGATATTAACCAAGTCCATGTACGACCACTTAAAATTCCAAAACAAAATAACACTAACAATTTTGATAGTAGAGACATAGATCAGGCACGAGTAACGATAACCTCAAAAACCTCTCCTCCTTCCTTCCTCCAAAAGTGGACCTTATCATTCACATTAAATTCACAAAAACGCTGGAAGTCATACCATCCTTTTGAAAACAGTCCTTGGTATGGATACCACAAAATATGCCACATAGACTCAGTCCCGTTTGGCAGAATTACATTGACCTAGTCTGGATGACCTTTTAGATAATTCGTTACGACGTCGGCCGATATTGGCTGCAATAAAAAAGGAAAAAAAAATATGTCAAACCAAAAACTGCATACAAAAATAAATTCCAAACAAAATAATAAAAAAAAAAAAGAAATATGTTAAAGAACGACCAATATTATTAGTGGTTTCCCAGGAGACCTCTTTGAAGGCGTAATATTAGATGACCATAAAAATTGTCTGTCATTATGTTCGATTTCTCGGCGAGCAGCCAAAATTGTTGAGCGACGAGGGGACATATTTGGTGGAGTAATAGGAGTAAAACACGTGCAGACAGTGAAAACAAACTTGCTATCACCCAAATATTGAAAAAATATCAACTTGGCTTTCTGTAGGGCATAGCTTTCCACGATTCTTTTTATCCCATCACCGAAGAAAGCAACTTCCTTATTTTGCTTGCTCTAAACGTTAACCTTAATTCGATAGGTATTGCTAAATTGGTCTTTGGCATGACCTTGCTAGCCAACTCGTTACCCCATTTGTTAAAAAAGAAATTTGGAATTTTCAATGTATCCTGAAAAAAAAGTTATCAAAACCCTAAATAGTTTTTACTGTTCATGGTGTAGTTATAAATAAAAAAAGTAAAGGATGAAGGAATTTTTTACCGAATCACTACGAAGTGCAAGCTGGAAGTTAGCCTCCTCATAGGCTTTGTTTAGTGGGACTCTGGGATTAGAATATGGAAAAGGTGTAACTAAATGATTTACGAGTTATGTGAAATAAAAAAAGGAACTAAGAATGACAATACCTGCGAATGTTGGTTGGGCATGTTCGAACATGATATAGCACCATGGTTGCAGCAGAGGAGAAGACACTAAGATTCCAACTTTAGTGTTGTGCATATAGCAGAAGAGAAGACACTGGGTTAGGGTTCTAGTGTTTGGCATATAGTTATTAGGAGTAGTCATAGTCAATATTAAGGTTTTTAAAATGTAGGAACAATTATCTAAATTAGGAAACGAAAAATGTAAAATAAATCAGGCATTTGAAGTGACGACATCTGTATACGGTGAGGCGAAAAGACTGTTGAGTTGAAACGTTACATTATTGCACATTGAAAAACAAAGTTGAACGAATTCATCACGCGTATGCGCCATTATGAGTCATCATGTCATCTGTGCAGATGTCATTGTAGTCATGGCTTCCAATACTTGTCTTCCCGATTTGACGTGTGCACCATCATGATTCTTGAGAATCATATTTGCTAAAATAAACATGAGTAATTGCATATGAATGGTACATTCAACACTCATTTTTTATGGTTTACATATCTTAAGTAATATTTTTAATTTTGTTTACATACATCCGTAATTAACAATTAAAAATAGTAAATAAATAAAAGTAATTGAAATAAAATATTAATACAAATATTTCTCCCCAAGTATGAAAAAATTTAACAATGGAAGTAATTGTTAGAGTTTTTTTTTTATAAATATATTATTTTATATTATTTATTTAAAAAATACAGATAATTTAATTAAAATTTTACAAATAAAATATAAACAATAATATTTTTTAATAATGAAATTATATTTTTAAAGTACATAATATTGAATATCTATAATTATTAATACAAAACTAATATATT